GTGTAGGTAACTTGCTTTTGCCTACAGTGTATGCTTCATTTGTTCAATCCTGTAGACAAATAATTTCCCCTGAAGCTACATGTAAAGAGATTCAACTTAGTCTATCAATTTTTTAACTGGATAAATAAAAAAAAAAGGAAAACCAATTACCATTGACGGTAACTATAACATTCTTGTCACTTGTGCCTACAGTGTTGTTGGCCACACATCTGTAGGTGAAGTTTCCTTGATCAGACATTGTTCTCTGCCATACTCCTTCGGTGTCACTATCAGGCACTTGGATATCATTCTCAAACAGTTGATAAGTATGAACAATAGGTTTACCATCAGCTGAGCAGGTGATACTGATGATATCACCCTCACAGATGTTTGAATCATTTACCATTAACTTGACATTCTCTGGTACGTCTAAAATAAAAGGGAAAAGGTCTAAAACTTAAAATCAATTGATCGGTCATCACAGCTAGATGTAGTATGTACAGTATGATCACTTGTGATTGCGACAGATCTTTACTACAGTATTGCCTGAAAGTATGGACCCATCAGGTTGCAGCAAAACCTTGTCTTTGCCATGTGCTCCCACCTTGAGTCCACCGCAGGTGAAAATATGTAGCACCGCGGTAAAGACGAGTGCGACTGCAATGGAATAAATACCGCAGCAAAACAGACGAGGTAATACCTCGGGAAAGTAATGTATGTGTATCAAGTAGAGTGGCATTTTTTCATCAACATTGAATGTAAACTCCATCATAATTCAGAATCAAGAAACACGCTTGATGGAAAGTCGAACATTTTACATGTAAATGCCTATCCTCTACTTTCGAAATCTACATGTGCTGACGTTTGGTAAACCCTTTTACGAACTCTGACTACACTATTCACAGCCGTTTAATTAAGGGTTCCCAGGGTGTTGAAGGTCACTTGATTAAAACAGCAACAGGATGGAGCGGTCTATTACTGTCGTAATCAACAACGCCTTGATACAGTGCCATTAAAGTACATCTGTTGATCCACAATTTCGGCAACACACGCTAAACGTTACCAGTTTCAGGTAAAAATGTAACTGTTCGTCACCTAATTCATTTTTTTTATTATTTTAAAATCGATGCATTGAAACTAGTAATGTAACTTCGTGACTTTGCATTGGAAACAACCGAGTGTGTAGCATCTTTTGATTTCCGCAAAAGGTCACGCGAAATGTAAAAAAAATCTTCTTACCTAAAGTGGTGAAAAGTTTCGATTCTCCTTTCAATGATCAAGTGCATAAAGGCAAATAATATAAATCCCCATAGGAGTCTTGGCTTAAAGGAAGATTACATGTGTTGAATGCCGTCAGATATAAAGAGCAGTCGCTGCTCTGAGAAACGCTTTTTAATTCTTTGTCGGAATCAGTGAAAATGAAATGAGTATGATTCTAACATCTAGAGGTACAAATAAAGAAGAAAAAAAACAGTTGATACCTAAAAATGCATAGATTAATATACCATAACCCTTCCAAAAAACCCTGGAATGTAACACGAAAATAGTGGCATGTCTTTTGTCGGCTTTTCGTGTATCAAAAGGAAACCATAGGCATAGCAACCTTTCATGGGGCCAGTGAGCTTTTTCCAACATTTTGATCAGAATTGTAACAAGCCTTTTTGCGACCACGCATGTAAGTTGTTTACTTTCTCACTGAGCTGTCCATGAAGACCATGGCCGAGATACATCTGTTGAGACATCACACTTCCTTTAAAGTCAAAAGCTATTTTAACCATTGTTTATGAAGCTTCTCATTCGTGATTCCACCTATTATCCATCCCCTAAAATTCGAGGTAAATATAGCATGGGACCAGATGAATTTCATTGGTTGCAACAAAATAATTTGACGATTTACAAAGCTGCTAACCAAAAATATTTGATCGACTGATAGGTTTCCGATTTGCAAAACACTCACGAGTTTATTATATATCTAAATGAATTCGAGTCGTCTACACATACTCAAGGGTTAAAAACTGGAGCGTGTAGTTAGAAATTTAGTCTAAAAAGAGCTAAGTAAACATTCTATTTGATGTGGAAACAGACTGATCGTTATCATTGTTTGATGGTGTCAGGTCACCAACATGTCACCGGCGCACTCAAGCAAAACGAGTTGAGCTGTGATTTTTGCTTCCGGTAACTGGCAGTTTGTTTTTGGGTTCCGTTCTGTTCTTGCTTTCACTTTGTGCTAAGTTATGTTATGTTTGGGGTGCTGTTATTAAAAGGTGGCCTCGCGCACGATGTTGGTGTACAATTGCATAACAAAAACGGTCTCACACTAGATTTCTTATTATTTCTTGTCATTCTTAAAGCCAGTGGTTGCAAAACTTTGCAGAATTAAACTTCCATCTATGTGCACCCCAAAAAGCAAAATTATCTGTCTGAAAGCGATTTATTAGAAGAACAATGACAAAATTCTGAAAACAGGTTAAGCAAAATGTGCCATTTTTCCCCCATTTTTTGACCAAACCGTAAAGTGCATTATTATAACTTTTGACTTCTTAGTGTGAACAATTCAATTCACGAAGGTGTCTCCAAAGTGCACCTAAATTTTGCTTTAAAATGGTGGGATTCTTTCATTTGTGGTTGTATCTGTCAAAAAAATATGATTAAAAACTAGCGTGAAACCACGTTAATTTAAAAACTTTCAATTGTCATTTTATCGCACCTTTGTTCACACGTTTCGAGCACTTTTTTCCTGTTTTGCCTTTCATGCGAATTTTGCGTTTTGCCAATCGCACCTCTGGCATCGCGCATTTTTTTTGCCTTTCAGGCCCACGCTATTTTTGCCATTTTGTCGTTTTGCTAATTTTGC